ATGCTAACTTTCCTTAATCAATTTTTGCCTCTCTAAATGTCCATAAATCCTACCTTTTATAATCACCTCCAACAATTTACCCACAACTGAAGTCAAACTCTTAGGTCTACAGTTCCCTGATTCGTCCTTAAACAAAGGTACAACATTAGCCACCCTCCAGTCATCATGCACCTCACCCATAATTATAGCTGATGCAAATATTTTCTGCAATTTCCTCCCTTACTTCCCACAACATTCTGTGATACATTAGATCAGGTCCCAGAGATTTACATTCTCTAAGACCTCCCGAACTTCCTCTTCAGTTATGTGAACAGATTTTAAAGCATCAAAGTTTATTTCTCTGCATTCTCTAGACTCATTTCTTTCTCCACAGTAAAAACTGACACAAAATATTCATTTAGTATCTCTCCCATCTCCTGGGGTTCAACACAAAGATGACCTCCTTGTTCTTTAAGAGGTCCTACCCTCTCTCTGTTTACCCTCTTGCTCTTAATATATTTGTAGAATCTCTTTGGATTATCCTTAACCTTATCTGCCAATGCTATTTCATATCCCCTTTTGCCTTCCTGATTACTCTCTTAAGAATGCCCCTAAACTCTTTATATTGTTTAAGAGATTCAGTTGGACCAAGTTGTCTATATTTAAAAAAAGATTCTTTTTTATTCTTGACTAGAATCTCAATATCTTTATTTATCCATTGTTCCTTAATCTTACCAGCCCTACCCTTCACAGGAACAAAATGCATCTGAACTCTTGTCATCACACTCTTGAACACATCCCACTTGTCAGACATCCTTTTATCTGCAAACAGTCTGCTCCAATCAACTTTTGAAAGTTCTTGTCTCACATCATTAAAATTTGACTTACTACAATTAAAAACTTTAACTTCTATGGACGGCTTATCCTTTTTCATAACCACTTTGAAACTAATAGAATTATGATCGCTAAACCCAAAGTGTTGCCCCACTTGTATTTCAGTCACCTGCCCTGCCTTATTGCCCAAAAGAAGGTTTTAATTTTGCTCCTTTTCCATTAGGAGCATCCATATATCGATCAAGGAAGTTTTCTTGAACACATTTGACAAATTCTTCATCATCCAAACCTTTAACACTATGGTAGCCCCAGTCAAGGTTCGGAAAATTAAAATCCCCCATTATTACAACTTTATTACACTTACATATATTTGAGCTGTCCCTACATACTTGTTTCTCAATTTCTTTCTTACTGTTAGAGGGCCCTTAGTACAATCCCAACAAAGTGACCTTTCTTTTATCGGGCAGAAGATACAAAAGCTTAAACACATGTACCAACAGATTCAAGAACAGCTTCTTCCCCACTGTTATCAGACTTATGAATGGCCCTCTCAAATTTTAAGTTTAATGTCGATCTCGCTCATTGTGCACCTGCTCTGCAGCCGTAACATTGTATTCCTTGCTCTGTTCTATTACCCTAATGCACTTTTTATGGTTATGATCTGCCTGTACTAACGCAAAACAGAACTTCTCACTGTACGTAGACACATGTGACAATAACAAATCAAATCAAATCAAACCTGCTGAAACCACTCCTCATAAGACAGTCTCTCCATATCTGGGATCAGCCTAATGAAACTTCCCTGGGCTGCCTCCAATGCCAGTCCATCTTTCCTTAGATAAGGGGCCCAAAACTGTCCACAGTATTCCAGCTGTGGTCTAACTTTTACAGTTTTAGCAAAACCTTCCTACTTTTATATTCCATTCCCTTCAAAATAAAGGCCAAAATTCCATTTGCCTTCCCTGTTTCCGGCTGAACATGGATGCCAGCTTTTTGTGATTCATGGATGAGGACTCCCAAACCTCTCTGATCTGTAACCTTCTGCAGTCTTTCTCTATTTAAAGATTATTCATTTCCTCCCTTCATGTTGCCAAAATGCACGCCCAACAGACAATAAGATGTGCCGAAACAGGGTGAAAGTTGAAGATATTTTGGATGTGAGATTCGCTGATCTTAGCACTATCAGGAATAAGAACCAGGAACAGGAGTAGGCCATTCAGCCCCTCAAGCCAGCTCCACTATTTAATACAATCATGGCTGATCTCAACTTGGCCTCAACTCCACTTTCCTGTGCTATCCATAATCATTGAATACCAACAGTGTGGAAGGAGGTCATTTGGCCCATTGAGCCCATACTGAACCTCTGAACAGCATCCCACCCCACCCCCCAAAATATGTCTCTCACATTTACCCTGGCTAATCCACCTAACCTTCACATCCCTCGACTCTATGGAGCAAGTTAGCACGGCCAATCCACCTGACCTGTACATCTTAGATTTAGTCTTCGGACAGTCGGAGCAAACTCACGCAGACACAGGGAGAACATGTGAACTCCACAATAGTCGGTCGCCCGAGGGTGGAATTGAACCCAGGTCCCTGGCGCTGTGAGGCAGCAGTGCTAACCACTGAGCCAAGTGTCACCCAATCCTTCAACCTCTGACTAATTAAAAATTTGTCTATCTCCTGCTTAAATTTATTAAGGGTCCCAACAAGTACTGCATTCTAGGGGAGTGAATTCCACAGATTTCCGACCCTTTGAGAGAAGTAATTTCTCCTCATCTCTGTTTTAAATCTGCCACCCCTTATTCTAAAAGTATGACTGCTCATTCTAGATTGCCCCACATGAGGAAACATTCTGTCTACATCTACTTTGTCAATTCTCTTTAGCATCTTATATATCTCAATTAGATCTCTTCTCATTCTTCTCAACTCCAGAGAGTACAGGCCTAGACTGCTCAATTTCTCGTGCAAACACAAGCTTATCTTGAAATCAAATATGACACCAAGGATGTGTAAGATCTGTTTCAGTCTCAGAAAGCTGCTATGGAGGGAGACGAAGCTGCTGAGTAGAGGATGTAATATTTTCTGAAATATAATTACCATATCATAGAAAAACACAGCAACGAATTTGCTTATAGTAAGCACCCACGAACAGCAATGAGACAAGTGACCAGATAACATCAATGATTTGGATGTGAACATAGGAGATATGGTTAGTAAGTTTGCAGGTGACACCAAAATTGATGGTATAGTGGACAATGAAGAGGATTATCTCGGAGTACAACAGGACCTTGATCAATGGGCCAACGGGCCGAGGAGTGGCAGATGGAGTTTAATTTAGATAAATGTAAGATGCTGCATTTTGGAAAGACAAATCAGGTCAGGACTTACACACTTAATTGTAAGGTCCTGGGGAATGTTGTTGAATAAAGAGACCTTGGTGTGTTCATTGTTCCTTGAAAGTGGAGTCGCAGGTAGATAGGATAGTGAAGAAGGCATTTGGTATATTTGCCTTTATTGGTCGGTGCATTGAGTATAGGGGTTGGGAGGACATATTGCAGCTATACACTACCCTGGTTAGGTCACTTTTGAAATACTGCGTGCAATTCTGGTCTCCCTGTTGTAGAAAAAATCTTGTTAAACTTGAAAGGATTCAGTAAAGATCTACAAGGATGTTGCCGGAATTGGAGGACTTGAATAGGCTTGGGGGCTATTTTCCCTGGAGTGTTGGAGGCTGAGGGGTGACCTTATTGAGGTTTATAAAATCATGAGGGCATAGATAGGGTGAGTAGCTGAGGTCTTTTCCCCAGGGTGGGGGAGTCCAAAACTAAATGGCATAGTTTTAAAGTGAGAGGAGAAAGATATAAAAGGGACCTTACGGGCAACTTTTTCACACAGAGGATGGTGCGTGTATGAAATGAGCTGACTGAGGAAGTGGTGGAGGCGGGTACAATTACAGCATTTAAAAGGCTTCCGAATGGGTATATGGTGTTTGAAGTGTCTGGAGGGATAAGGGCCAAATGCTGGCAAATGGGCATTTCACATTGGCTCTGTTGAAAAGTCTTTTAGACTCGAAATGTTAGTTTGCTGTCTCTCCATGCATGCTGCCTGACCTGCTGAGATCTCCAGCATTTTTTGCTTTCAGTGTAGATTCCAGCATCTGCAGTAACTTGCTCCTGCTATTCAATGGAACTAGATTAGTTTAGGATATCTGGTTGGCATGGCGATTTGGAGCGAAGTGTCTGTTTCTGTGCTGTACAACTCTATGACCCAAGACTCTATAAAGTTTTTGGTGAAGAATGGATATTGGCTGATTCATTACTAAAGAGGGAAACCTGTGTCCTTTCACGAAATATCACCATGGGGTATTTTACTCACCCTAAGGAGGCAGTTTAACACCTCATCCAAACAAAAACAGCAGTGTTGAGGCTGCAGAGGGTAGAGATGAGGAGTAATGTTCCTTTTCAGTGAGGATTATGGGTTAGGGTTAGTCCCTGTATTAGGTACATCATGAATGGCATTGTTAATGTCGCCAATCATCCCTATGTCTGTGTAAATTATTATGGCATTAAAATCTAGAACGCATCACAAATCAAGGACTGCACGGTCTACGCAAACAGGAGGCTGGAAGAACACAGCAAGCCAGGCAGCATCTGGAGGAAAGGAGCAGTCAACGATTCGGGTATTACCCTACTTCAGGACATCCTAACACAGAGAGTGGTGAGTGCATGGAATGTGGTGGTAGTGGAGTCAGATACGTTAGGGACATTTAAGCGACTCTTGGATAGGCGCATGGAGGATAGTAAAATGTAGGTAGTTGGATCTTACAGTAGGATAATAGGTCGGCACAACATCGTGGGCCGAAGGGCCTGTACTGTGCTGTATTGTTCTATGTTCTAAAGAAGGGTAATACCCGAAACGTTGACTGCTCCTTTCTTCCTGATGCTGCCTGGCCTTCCAGCCGCCTGTTTGTCTACCTTGAATTCCAGCATCTGCAGTGCTTTTCTGTCTCTAACCCAGGATCGTCCAGTGTCAGGTACCTGATAGTCCCACCCCCCGATATTAGGGCTGTCATTGGTGCAAGGAGAGGTAGCTCAGTCCCTGGTTGGTGGCTGTTTCTGTTTATCAAAAGGAGGAACAATATACAATAGAGACATCCAAACCTGCTCTCAGACCAGAGAGTGTGGAGGGTCCTGTAACTGCCAGAATCTACGGCTCTCGTTGCTGTGTATCACCTTGCTCTGTGTGTGTGTGTGTTTTATTTTTTGTTTAACAATTAGGAGATGTTTGCCCTTTGCCTTGCGACTGAAGCAGCAGCTCAGGCGGGGGAAGGATGAGTGCAGACCGGGCGTGCTGGAGAGTTGATCCCGGACCCCCCGGTGAACGAGTGCAGCTCGAATTTCCGAGCAGCGCAAGACGGACCGAATGGAGTTCGCTCAAGTTTGCGTGTTGCTCGCCGCGCTGCTAGCGCACAGCGCAATCCCCCGGGTAAGCGAAATCGTTAATAACAGCCTTGTTATTCTGTTTCGGCAAATACAGAGTTAGGAAGACCAACTAAAACCGAATCTGGGAGAAATAGAGTGAAGGTTGATCCGTATTAGATTGCAACAGGGAAGCGAATTATACAAACAATTTTAACTTATTTTAAATTATTAAATCATTATTATCCTATAATACAAACAATTTTAACTTATTTTAAATTATTAAATCATTATTATCCTGCGGATGTAGTTTGGTATGATGTAGCGACTGAAGTCAAATCACATCGTTTATTTTTAATTGTTTTATACCTCGTTATGTTTGTTAGATTTAGTGGGTCCAACTACTAACAGTATTTCCCTTTTAAAGTTGCACTGTAGATGTTGGATATAGTTTGTTTCAGTTGGAATGTTACGCTTCTAAAAGGCAGGAAGTGGCTTTTCTGTAGCGCAGTGGTAGTGTCCCTACCTCTGAGCTAGCAAGCCCGGGGTTCAAGTGTCACCTGCCCCCAGAGGTGTGTCTGCAACGCTACAGAAATTGCAGGAGAAACTCGGCATCATCTCTGTGTGTGACCCTTCTTCCTACCTGATTAGGAAAATACCTCCAAAGAGCTGCAGTTGGCTTAAGATCATGTGGGAGGTGACCAGATGCGAACTTGGGACCTCAGGAGTCGACATGCAGGCCAGTGGCTGTAACATGTAAGAGCAGAAGGAAGCCATTCAGCCCATCAACTCTGCTGTGCCCCTCAGCCAGATCTTGGCTGATCCCATAATCCTCGACTGCCTTTTCCCCATAGCCCTTAGCAAATTAAATACTGAGGAAGGGTCACTCGACCCGAAACGTTAACTCTGATTCCTCTTCACAGATGATGCCAGACCTGCTGAGCTTTTCCAACAATTTCTGCTTTTGTTTCTGATTAAATGTCTGTCTGTCTCAGCCTTGAATGTGCATAATGACCCAGCCTCGACAGCCCCTCTGGGGTAAAGAATTCCACAGATTCGCTCCCCTCTGAGAGAAAAAAATTCTGCCTCATCTCTGTCTTATATGTGTGACCGCTCATTCTGAGATGATGCCCCCTGCTCCTATAGTCTACCACAAGGGAAAACAAACCTGTCTGCATTAACCCTGTCAATCCCCCTAATACATTTCAGTGAGATCTCCTCTGATTCTTCTGAATGTTGGAGTGTCAGTCGGGGCACTCTTCCCAAACTGTAACTGGCCCATGAGTCACTGACTCCTGGAAAGATGGGCAGAAAAACGTGATGAAAATAACAACTGAATTTTGTTGATGCAAAAGCATACAACCACATTCCAAAAACTTATTCCCAGCAGCTGAGTGATTGCTCTGCAATTCTGTACCAACCAGGTGGTCTCTTTATTCAGAGATACTTGTGTGATGTGGGCGTCGCTGGCTGGCCAGCATTTATTGCCAGTCCCTAGTTGTCCCTTGAGAAGACGATGGTGAGCTGCCTTCTTGAACCGCTGCAGCCCATTTTGTGGCAGGATACACACAATGCCATTCCGCACAATGGAGCCAAATAGTCACCTTCAGTGCCATAACAAATGGTCATTGTGTAATAAGGAGAGGGAATTCCAGGATTTTGACCCCTTGGTAGTGAAGGAACGGCGATATATTTCCAAGTCAGGACAGTGAGTGGCTCGAAGGGGAACTTGCAAGGGGTGGTGTTCCTATGTATCTGCTGCCCTTGTCCTTCTAGATGGAAGTGGTCGTGGGTTTGGAAGGTGCTGTCTGAGGATCTTTGGCGAATTTCTGCAGTGCATCTTGTAGATAGTACACACTGCATCCACAGTAACAATATTAAATAAACCCAGCATTCATACATCTGCAATGAGCATCAGAGGCTGAGGGGTGATCTTACAGAGGTTTATAAAATCATGAGGGGCATAGATAAGGTGAATAGTCAAGGTCTTTTCTCCAGGGTAGGGGAGGCCAAAACTAAAGGGCATAGGTTTAAGGTGGAGGGGGCTAACATATAAAAGGGTCCTATGGGGCAGCTTTTTCACGCAGAGGGTGGTGCATGTGTGGAATGAACTGCCAGAGGAGGTGGTAGAGGCTGGTACAATTACAACATTTAAAAGGCGTCTGGATGGGTATATGAATAAGAGGGGTTTGGAGGGATATGGGCCAAATGCTGGCAAATGGGACTACATTAATTTAGGATATCTGGTTGGTGTGGACGAGTTGGATTGAAGGGTCTGTTTCCGCGCTGTATATCTCTATGACTCTATGGTTCTAAATCAGAAGACACACATGTAGGAAGGGCCAGTTTAGAGTGTATAACTGATGGGGATGGTGACTTTTGTGAATGTTGCAGCTTCTAATCGGACTGTTTTGTCTCTACAGGTGCTGTGTATGGTCCCTGCCTGTGAGATTATGCTGAAAGTCACACAGCTACAACAGGAGTGTTTCCTGAAACTGAGTGCAGACAATCAGAGTTCAGAGACAGGTGAGTGAACGGCATTGGGAGGAGAGGTGACCAGGCCCTGTCGCACTGTCCTAGGAACACACCAACCAGATACAGGCTGGGAAAAGGCACAATGCCAGAGGAAGCAATAAGGTAGAAAACAGGAACCTGCATTTACCTAGCACCTGGATACCTCCCAGCCAATTTGAAGTGCCATCACTGCTGTAATGTGGAAGCTGTTTGGAGCACAGTAAGCTCACACAAACAGCAATGTGATTGACGATCAGATCATCTATTTCAGTGTTAATCAACTGAAGGATATATTTTGGTTTGATTTATTATTGTCACATGTAACGAGATACAGTGAAAAGTGTTGTATTGCATGCTAACCAGACAAATGATACCTTACGAAAGTTCACCAGGGTAAGAACAGAATGCAGTATATAGTGTTACAGCTACAGGGAAGATGCAGAGAAAGATCAACTCTAATATATGAAAGGCCTGTTTATAAGTCTGATAACAGCGGGGAAGAAGCTGTTCTTGAATCTGTTGGTACGTGTTTTCATATTGATCAGGATACAGAGTAGGACACTGCTTTGAAATACTGCTGTGCGATCTTAAGCCTCCAACCCAACTTCAGTTTAATATCCCATCAGAAACAACAGAATCCATGCCGATGTAGCACCCTCTGAGACGTAGGGAATGCTTGATGGATAGCTGTCACAGAGACTGAAGCTTACACATTTTCAATCTTTTAGTAAGACTCAGGCTATAGGGACGTTTCATTTGTGTGGTGATGACTTGCCGAATGGACAGAATTTGGCCCGATCATGACACTGCAGGAGCATCAATAGCCCACTGAATGATATTTTTGTTTAAACCTGATGAATTCCCTTTGAAATTTTGATTTCATTACACTGCACCTCCGGGAACAGTCAACGCCAACTTTATCAAATATGTTCATTTTAAAATGGAAGACAGCAATTAGTTATTTGATCACACAGAAACTGCATATGAACTACATTTTAATGTTGAATAGTAGCTAGGGTGGTTGCCTTAGTCGGGTGGCAATCCTGAGACCCGAATCAATGATATGGAGACATGGGTTCAAATCTCCACCATAACAGTGGCAGAATGTAAATTGAATTAACTAAATTACATTTAAAATTACAAAGTTAATCTCAGTATTGGTGACTGTACAACTACTTGACTGTTGGAAAGTTTCATTGAAATCCTCGATGCCTTTTATCAGGGAATCACTAAATTGTTAAAGTATAGAGGAAGCCATCTGACCCATTGTACCTGTACTAACCTTTCAAATAACCAACATTATCTAGTGCCAATCTCCTGCCTTTTCACCATATCCCTGCACACCATTTCTATCCAAATAATCATCCAATGTCCCTCTTGAATGCATCAATTAAACTTGCCTCCACCACATTTCCAAACAGTGCATGCCAGACCCTCACTACTCGCTGTGTGAAAAAGTATTTTCTCGCATCACCTCTGCTTTGTTTGCACATTACTTGAAATCTATGCCCTCTTGTTCTTGTTCCCACTTGTAAAAGGAACAGCTTCTCACAACCTACTCTGTTCAGCCCACTCCACTCATGACTTTGAAACCCTCAACTGAATCTCTGTTCAGCCACCTTCTCTCCAATGAGAACAGTCCCAACTTCTTCGATCTTTCCTCACTCCTGGAACCATTCTTGTCATTCGCTCCGCACTCTCTCAAGTGCATCCACATCCTTCCTACAGCATGGTGCCCACAACTCAATGTAAGATTCCAGAAAAGTCATACAACATGGAGTTTAACCCTGAACAGTGTGAGGTGATTCATTTTGGAAGGACAAACTTGAAAGCAGAATACACGGTTAATGGCAGTGTGGAGGAGCAGCAGGATCTTGGGGTTCATGTCCACAGTTCCCTGAAAGCTGCCACCCAGGTGGATAGAGTTGTTAAGAAGGCGTATGGTGTGTTAGCTTTCACTAATAGAGGGATTGAGTTCAAGAGCCATGAAGTTATGCTCCAGCTATACAAAAGCCTGGTTCGGCCTCATCTGGAGTATTGTGTCCAGTTCTGGTCGCCTCATTACAGGAAAGATGTGGAAGCGTTAGAAAAGGTGCAGAGGAGATTTACCAGGATGTTGCCTGGAATGAAGTGAAGGTCTTAAGAGGAAAGGCTGAGAGAGCTAGGGCTTTTCTCTTTAGAACGACGAAGAATGAGAGGTGACTTGATAGAGGTGTACAAAATGATCAGAGGTATAGATAGAGTAGACAGCCAGAGACTTTTTCCTAGGGTGGAGGTAGCTGTTATGAGGGAGCATATTTTTAAAGTGAATGGAGGTAGATATAGGGGAGATATCAGAGGTAGGTTCTTTACTCAGAGAGTGGTAGGGTCGTGGAATGCACTGCCGGAGAGGGTAGTGGAGTCGGCCTCATTAGGGGCATTTAAGCGGCTATTAAATAGGCATATGGATGATAGTATAAGGTAGGGGTGGAGGTTAGATAGACCTTAGGTTTAGGGTAAAAGTTCGGCACAAGATCGTGGGCCGAAGGGCCTGTACTGTGCTGTACTGTTCTATGTTCTGTGTTAACATACAGCACGGGAGCAAACCCTACGGTCCAATTAGTCCATGCCAATCATAAGCCCAAACCAAACTAGTCCCACCTGCCCATTTTGGCCATATCCCTCCAAACCTTTCTCATTTATATACTTACCCAAATGTCTGTTAAACGTTGTAACTGTACCCCCAACCACCACTTCCTCTAGAATCTGGTTCCACACAAGAACCATACTCAGTGTTTTAAAAAAAAAGTTGCCCCTCACATATTTTTTTAAAAAGTCTTTCTCCTCTCACCTTAAAAATATGCCCTGTAAAATCAGAAAGGACTGTGGATGGTATAAATCAGAAACAAAAACAGATGTTGCTGGAAAAGCTCAGCAGGTCTGGCAGCATCTGTGAAGAAAAAAATCAGAGTTAAAGTTTCAGATCCCGAAGTTCAAGTTCAAGTTCAAGTCCCATTCCAGGAATCGGTGGTCAGGGGAAAGTGCACTTATGACGAGGCCAAAACAGATTAACTATCAACTTGTAAAATATTTCCTCCACCCTCCAGTGTCAGGCTGTGGGAGTGGTACGGTTTCCTGATTAGTTGTGCCACAGAGAGTGGTAGGAGTCTGGAATGCGCTGCCAGGGGTGGTGATAGCGGCAGACACAATAGGGACGTTTTAAGGGACTTTTAAATAAGCACATGAAAAAGCAAGGAATGGAGGGATATGGACCAAGGGCAGTCAGAGGGGATTAGTTCAATTTGGCATCATGTTCGGCACAGCAACGTGGGCCGAAGGGCCCGTTCCTGTCCTGTACAGTTCTATGTTCTATGTGCGATAGAAAGGAAAATTCGAGGCTCCATGATTTCAGCCTGTAGCCCCTGACTGCCCCATGAATGTACAAGTGCAGCAACCTGTAAACATTCAGTGAATTGTAACTCTCTTCCAACCTTACAGAGGTTTATGCATTCATGAGGGGTATAGATAAGGTGAATGGCAGGTGTCTTTTCCCTCGGGTGGGGGATTTCAAGACGATAGGGCATATTTTTAAGGTGGAGGAGGAAGATTTTAAAAAAGACATGAGGGGCAACTTTTTTTCTTACACATTGGGATAGATCAATTTAAATGATGTAAACTCTGTAGATTCATTTGAGGGATCTTTAGTCGCAAAAAAAAGCTCCAATCCTTTGTAGCAATCCTGCAGTTCACTGTGACAATATGTCTTAATGATTGACTTAAGAAAAGGATATATCTCTCCAAAGTTCTGTGTTTGTGGATGATATGCTGTGTACTTCAGCTATTTTACACCCAAATTGTTTATTACGTCTAGAGAAAATTTAGACGTAAAACCTTAGATGCTATTTGCAATGCCTGCTTACGATATATGGGCAGTATTGTTATCTGATGGACATTACACATTAGAATTAGAATCCCTACAGTGTGGAAACAGGCCCATCGGCCCAAAAAGTCAACACCAACCCGTGGAGTATCCCACCCAGACCCATCCTCCTATAACCCAACTAAGCTACACATCCCTGAACGCTACAGGCAATTTAGCATGGCCAATCCACCTAACCTGCACATCTTTGGATTGTGGGAGGAAACCAGAGGAAACCCATGCAGACACAGGGAAAATATGCAAACTCCACACAGACAGTCACCCAAGGATGGAATCAAACTGGGGTCCCTGGCGCTGTGAGGCAGCAGTGCTAACCACCGAGCCACCATGCTGCATGTTTGAGAGACTATCTCCATTTCCTCATCAGAACTCGGTTTTTCATGTTACCACAGAACTCCTTTAGTGTGAGTTGAATGCATTAACTTGCTTACACTAAACACACATTTTGAATTATCCCCATCATTAAAAAAAAAGAAGCATAAAAAAAGGGAACAGAAACAGGCCATTCCACCCGCAGAGGTCTCTCTACAATTTAACATTAACATAATGGATCCTCTATCTCACGATCTCTCTCAACGTTTTGGGTAGCATGTTGGCTCAGTGGACCGAAAGGCTCTGCTTCTGTGCTGTGTGACTCTATGACCTCCAACACAAACAATTGAGACATGGATTTTGTGGAATTGATGAACGAATTAATTACACTTAAAATCCTATTGTCTTTAACAGCTCTCAGATTTTTTTTTACATGTGTTACATAAATAATCACTTGATTTTGTATAAATAAATCTATATATTTACTAGCTTTGTTTGGCCTTTCTTAGAAAAATCAGATCAATCACTATAAAGGCCTTTGAATGAACAGATGCCTTGTTCAGTGTTTCCTTGGAATGAGTTATTATAACCATTGAAAGATCCCATATAACTCCAGTAAAACTGCTCGGGAGCTCGATACCTCCCACATACTGAGAAGTGATGGGCATCTGTTTTTTAATAGGGAGTAATATTGATCCAGGTGACACTCTCCAGATCTTCCAGCTCTGGAATAGTAAACAGAATGTGGCTCAAACACACAGCGTACGTTTAAGGGGGAAAG